ACAACCAGCCTTTTTTTAGCAGCTCAAGTCATGAGGTTAAAGTAATAACCACTAAAACAATATAGTAGACCCACAAATCTTTATAATAAGAGGAATATGTTCAAGATGTCAAACCAAATAGCATGGCAACATACTTCGTGCATTTACCTCCTCCTCACCAAACATATGTATGTATATTAAATCAAATGGCACGACAACAACCTTCATGCATTTATCTCATCCTCATTAAGCATATGTATAACAGTACCAACCAGGTATAGGGAATACCGATAACAGTAACAGCGAAGTAGAAAGTACATAGATAGCAGTAACAAATCAGGTAGAAGCATATGGATAACGGTAACAGACAAGGTATGAGGCATATAGTAACGATAACAATGAAGGGAGGAGAACATAGATTTCAATCACTAGCAAGGTAGAAGGTTTAGATGAAACCACAACAAACGAGCAAAAGGCATAGATGCAAATATAACAAACGAGAAGAAAAGCATGAATATAACAATAATAGAAAAATAGAAGACATGGGTAGAACAATAACAAATAAGGTAGAAGTCAAAGGTGTAATAACCATAAGAAACATAGAAAGCACACGTGCAACAACTCAGGATAAAGGCATAAATGTACATGTAAGGGAAAGATAACACAATATAATGCATGTCTCTCGTCCTTGCCTGTATGAAAAACCCTTCGTGACATGAACTGTCATCCTCACTTGCACGATATCACTCTTCGTGCTTTTAGTCTCATCCTCGCATCATAATACAAAAATAATTGCACAGTATCGCCCTTGGTACTTTTACTCTCATCCTCATATTATAATGTAAAAATAATGGTACGACATCACCCTTCGTGCTTTTACTCTCATCCTCACAATTATAAAATAACAACAAGCATGGAAACACCTTTCGTACATATCCTCACGTTCACTCAAGAAATAATATCAATATATAAATAAGGCACAAAAATACCCTTCGTGCACAATCACTCTTCCTCACAAGCACAGAAACACCTTTTGTGTAATTCACTCTTCCTCACAAGCATTTATGCATCAACACAAGCAAAGTAAGAAGCATAGATAACATCAAGAGAGTGATTAAGCATAATACACCACGTGAACGATAATCACAGCTTATGCACCAATAAACAAATCAATAAACTTCAAGTACCCCATTGTTCAAGTATCTCAACAAAGCTCAAGCATGATCTTCAACATAAATATGGAACCCAAGTATCTCAAGAATAACGGACATAGACATGCATTCATGATATAGGTATTGTTATGACCGGATTTAGCGCACCAACAGCATCACAAATAGTCCATCATATTTAACCAAGTTGTAATAAGCTAAAGCATGGTATCTAGCATTGATATTTGTACACATATTATTATAGAAATCAAGTAAAATATAAGGCAAGAAAGTCACAAAGTTCATCAAGGTACAAAGAGTCGTATAATCTACCCCCGAGCAAGGATAATCCCGGCACATGCATATACGTTCGTCACCTCACATATACATCACCCCCGCATGTAGAAAATAATATCATATTACTAGAAAATATTTCCTCAACAAAGCTAGGCAAGATACTTACCTCATTCCGAAATAAATTTCACAATCCAATATCGTCTTCCTTAGAAATACTCCTCAAACTATTAAAACCTAGTCAAATATCATCTAAGGAAGTCAAATAATGCTAAAGGAAATATCTCTAGTCAATAAAGGTTCAATCTTTGCCAAAATTTCCAAAAGTCAACAAAATGTCAACCCAGGCCCACATGGTCCAATCTGAAATAGAGACCAAATCTCGATGACTCATAACCCCATGAGTCCATATATATAATTTATTTCAAAATACGACCTCAATTTGAGATCTAAATCTCAATTTTACGAAATCCCTAAATTCTACCCAGAACCCCAATTTCTACCTATGAAATCTTGGATTTGATACTGAAAATTAATGAGAAGTAATGGATATTGAATAAAAATAAGTTAAAGTCACCAATCTATGAAGTTGGGAAGAAATTTCTCTCCAAAAATCGCCTCTATGGAATCTAGGGTTCAAAAATAGTGTAAACGATGCTAAGTCCCGCAAATTTCACATTTTACCTAGCTGCAGATATCGCAATTGCAAACTCTCATTTGCAATTACAATGTTCGCAAAAGAGAACCATTGCTCACAAAAGCAAACAGTGTCTGAGTGCCTCTGATGTTGCAAAAGCGACCCTACCTTCGCATTGGCGAAGGTCCCCTTCCTCGCAAATGCGGAATGCGAAGCTGCCTTGCCACTGCTCAGTGCCGTAATTATGATACACCGATCAAAAATGTGATTCCCCCTGGCTCGCAAAAGCGACAGTGACTTTGCAAATGTGAAGTCTTCCAGTCCTACCTATCTTCGCAAATGCGAGCATGACATCGCAAATGTGAGACTCGCATTTGTGAACGGGTTCTCACAAATGCGAGACTTGCAGATCATGCACACCAGCAGATGCCTTCAGCTGCCAAACCATCCAAAACACATCTGAAATTCACCCGAGCCCCTCGGTCTCCAATACTAACATTCACGCAAGTGCAATAACATCATACAAACTCGCTCGCAAGCTCAAATCATCAAAATAATTTCAAATATCAAGAATCAATCATTAAAACTCAATTTTTTAATTTTTCACATAACGCGCCGAAATGGCCTCGGGTCACTCGAGACCCCAACCAAACATGCGTACAAGTCCAGAATCATCATACAAACCTACTGGAATCGTCAAAATATCGATCCTAGGTCGTTTACCAAAAACGTTGACCTTGGTCAACTCTAGTCATTTTCAAAGTCAAAAATCTCATTTTCTTTAAAATTCACATATAAAATTTTCGGAAATCAAAATGGACCATACACGCAAGTCATAAATCATCAAATAAAGCTAGAAAAGTCTTGAAATACAGAAAGGGTAGCTAGTACTCTAAATGACTGATCGAGTTGTTATACGTGGTGAGCTGCTTTACTTAATCTGATCCGCAGCACATGGAGTCCCCCTTCCATGTTTATCTATCTCTGTCTATGTATTTTCTTTCCAGATAAATATTGCATTTAGATTGCTTACTCTTATAGAAGCTCATGATTTTGTGACACGGATTTTTGGGTATTGTTAGATAGTTGTGCTCGTGTTAGACCTTGTCTTAGATATTTGTATTTATGATATTTGTTTTGAATCTTATTCTGCATAGCTAATGATATCATGACTCAGTTAATGATTTAATAATTGGCTTCTATTACTGTTGTTGAGCGTTGGCTTGCCTAGAAATCAAGTTCGACGCCATCACGACCTTTGGTGGGATTTTTAGATCGTGACATATATAGACCCCAAATAGTCCTAGACCTATAAGAGAAAGATTTTTTCAATCCTACAAGAACAATATGTTTTTCTTTCTTAAATCTGTTAGAACAATGGGTTTTCTAAATCTATAAGGATTATGGGTTTCCTAAAAATATTAGAAAAATCTTAATATAATTAGAATTCATAAAAATCAAGACACAATTAACATTGACATTCAAAAATAATTTTTGAATAGATTGTTCAAACACAAAGTGTTTATTAGATACATATGGCTTAATGATATGATTCACATACAAATATTTTTGACTTATTTTACACTATAAGTTTAGAAAATATTTTCTTTCCTTTTAAAATTATGTGCCTAGCCAAACACTTAGGGGTCGTTTGGTAGGAGGTATTAGAAAAAATAATGTAAGCATTAGCTTTGTGCATTACTAATCTCTTGTTTGGTACATTGTTTCAACATATGTATAACTAATACTTGTATTAATTATACATCCCATTTGGTATTATCCTATGTATAACTAATACATAGCAAATCATAGTATTAGCAATGCAAGGGTTTTTAATACTTGCATAAATATGGTTAAAGACGTAATTGCCCCTTAAATCCCTCAAAACATACTCCAAATACTTTCTGCCATATTTTGGAGCATATTTCTTAAAAAAACTAATTTTTTTAAAGATTTTGCAATGTTTTAATGCACCAAATCAAACAGTGGATAAAAAATATTTTTAACATAACTAATGTTATCATAACTAATCCAGTATTATTAATACCAGTATAATTAATACATCATATTCAGAGTAATATTCTTATACCTCCTGCCAAACGACCCTGAGTGAGAGAGAGACATAATTATAACTTAGGATGAATACTCCGTGAATTTTGAACAGCCCACGAGACTAGCTAATAAGGATGAAGGACCAACATTCTAGGGAACTCAGAATGTTAATGTTATTGGAGTTACTTCCTTGTCTGCGATTTTGTGATCACTTATTCCTTCTTTTTGTTTGCATGCACAAGTACAACGGAATTCATTTCATAGAACATGTTTCTTTTTCGTTACCGTTAATATAATGTATTCGAAATTTACTGGATTCATTTGATGCAGATTCACGCCAAAAAGACGTTTTTGAGAAGCAAAGTACACCGTACATAGGAAGACTTTATTTTTAGGACTTAAACCGGAGATATCTGTTAAAAGAAAAGAACACAAATCATCTCACCACACTAATCATCTTAACATAATGTTAATGTGCTAATTTTGTAGTGTGAAAGAAAACAACAAATTAAAAGATTTGACACAGAATTGTAGGCGTAGCTTCATTGGCCGCGCGCATTATGTCACAGTAGGACCTTTTCCTTGGCATTGAAGCTTTCTACAAACAAAACTGATTTTTTCTTATTCAAATGAGAACTCTTTGAAAATAATACTAATAAACCATTCCTTGTCACCTTTGACCCGTTAATCAAGATCGTAGTAACCAAAAACCAAAAGTGCATTATCCTTTTCATCCTTTGACCTAATAATCAAATCATTGCATGCAATTAACCCACCCTAACCCCCACCCCCACCCTAATTAAGTCATCCCCAACCCAACCCCATCCTCTCTTTTCCTTTTAAAGGACAATTCCTACCTGAAATTTTGTTTTATGATTCCAATTCTTCTCTTCAGTTGAACCATTCTTATTTCTCCTTCTTAACTATACTCTAAATCTTTCTTCTTTTCTCAACAATTTTTCCCTTTAGTTTGAAAAGTTTCCATCTAATAATTAATGGTTTGATCTTTTCTTGTATGCATTTGAAAATATTTCAAACCTGCAGCTACAATTGGAAAATGATAGTAGTAGATATTCAAGAATTTCTCATGCGTTTCTCACTAGTTTCTCTCGTTCTATATTTCCTTCGTAGGCTTAGGAAAACCCTTCGCATGGCTATTGTTTCCCCACCAACCCCATCTCCTTCTCCTTCTCCTTCTCCTTCTTCTCCTCCTTCTCCATCTTCCCTCCCGTGGTTCGGTCGATGGCTTCTTTTAGAAAAGGAAAAACCCTTTTCGAAGCTAGAAAAATCAAAAAAAACAAGAATTAACGATCCCACGGATGAGAATTTCCTCAAGAATGATTCGCCGATCTCCAATAAGGATCAAAATGTGGATGGATTAATTGGTGGTGGTCTGATGATGGAAATACCGTCTTTTTCGGGTATTAATGAAGCTAGGAGATCTATAAATTCAAGAAAGAGACCTGCAAAGCTTATGGTACCATCATTTGTTCCTTCTTTGGATTTTGGTGAGGTTGGAAAGAAATTTGAGAAGACAGAATTTGAGATTGAAGGAAGAAATTATTCGGTTGCTTGTAGAAAAGGAAGAAGAGAAGTCATGGAAGATGGCCAAGGTGCCATGCTTGATATCTTACGTGACCATAATCAAGTAAGTCATAAATCATCATATTTGATTTTATTTCACAACCTCCGAAATGTTAATCCATAATTAGATTTTTCTTTCATTTATTTCCACATATAACAAGAATTATATTTATATATGTATGATTTTCTCCTCCTTAGAATAATAGTTTGGTCCTTTTTACAAATTTTTCATGTTATTCCAAGACAGATAGTCCTATATGCATTCACTTTTCATCAACTTTTTAGTAGTATATTTGAAATACGAAAATACGTTATTTTGTCAGTAATTTTCATGTAATATCTTTGTATAATTCCATGCATGTCTAATATCACTGCAAAACTTTATTAACATGATTGATAGTTTTTTCTTCTAAATTAATTTATTGCCACAATTTTTGGAATTGCAACTAAATTTTTATTAGATGTTTTCTTGTTCTTAATAGGCATTTTTTGTTGTGATTGACGGACATGGAGGCAAAGCTGCAGCAGAATTCGTAGCTGAAAATCTAGGGAAAAACATAGTAAAAGAATTAGAACGTGTTGAAAAGAAGGAAGGAAAGTACATAGAAGTTGCCATACGCGAAGGTTACTTGTTCACAGACCAAGAATTTATTAATCTGGTACGTATTCAACTAACGTGTGACAATGACTATTAGTTTATTCTTTTTCCATTTTTTGAAAATTTGGGTCATTTAAAAGAATTGTTGGCCAGACTTGGTCAAAGTCTTAGTCATTAATAGTTAATGAGGGGATTCAAGATTCTTTTAATTTGGACTGTCATAATGGTAGGTAGACAAAAGTATGAGACGTATATATGTATTGACTGTATCTACCATGGATTTTCTTGAATTTGTCATCGCAATTTGTTATTTTTCTTCACTAGCGAACCAAAAAAGTATAGGAAGAAAAGAAAAAAGAGAAACAAAAGAGTAGATATAGACCAAAAAATTAAGAGAACAAGAATAATAGGTTCAGAGTTAGAACCTAGTGGAGTTCAAATACCGCTAAAGGCATTCCTCTTCCCGCCACCAAAAAAGTGTACCAAAAAAAAAAAAAAAAAAAAGGAAAGAGAATATAACAATAACTAGCATAATCATTTAGTGGCGAGGCAGAAATGAGAAGAGCATACATATACAAAAAAAAACTAGCTATGACCTATGAGTCACGCGACGGGGATCTAAATCTATAAATCAAGAAAGGAAAAAAAAGATGCACAGACAACATAAAATTCTACATTATCCGGCATTATAAACGATGCATTTTTTGAGTTACTAAAATAGGATTATTAGAAATAATTACATATTGTTGCACGTCATCTTAGCCCGATCCTGTAAATAATTGTATATTGTCGGTGCAAGGAAGTTAGACTCACAAGGAAATCATAAGAGTGTTACTTCTGCAACTAGTTCTCCAACGTAACCATTAATTACTAATGTTTATAATGTGTACTCTTGCATATGCAGGGTCAAAATGGTGGAGCTTGTGTAGCTAGTGCACTGTTGAAGAATGGAGAACTCCATGTAGCAAACGTGGGAGATTGTAGAGCAGTTTTGAGTAGGAATGGAGGAGTAGCTGTTAGACTAACAAATGATCATCGTCTCACTAGGGAAGATGAACGTGCCCGAGTCGAAAATGCAGTAAGTCTTATTGTCAATTGTTTATAGCTTATATATGTTTCTGTCAAGTTAGTTTTGAGTAATAATAATTCTTGTAAAATTGCAGGGTGGATTTGTGTATTGTCACAATGGAGTTTGGAGGGTGAATGGATCACTTGCAGTTTCAAGGGCATTTGGAGACAATTACTTAAAGGAATGGATCATTTCTGAGCCAGATGTTGTGAAGCTTCCTTTAACTTCTGATTGTGAATTTCTCATCATGGCTTCTGATGGCTTGTGGGATAAGGTAAATTTTTAAAATAAATCTGATAGTACATTGTCGGTGTATATAACTTAAATTTTTTTACTCTATAACTTCAACTAATTAATTTGAAAATATATATATTGATTCATGCAGGTAAGTGACCAAGAAGCAGTAGATGTGGTAGCAAAAGAAAAGAGTTCGATATTGGCTTGTAAGAAACTTGTAGATATATCTGCAAGAAGAGGAAACCTTGATGACATAACAGTCATGATCATCAATCTTCAAAGCTTTGTAGGCAGTAATTAAGATTTAATCAACTTAGTCTAAGCAGCCTAATGTTTAATTTTATAGGATATTAGCCCAAAAAGGCTTCTCCATCATCCTTGTGTAAATAGATTATAGAGTGTCCTTTATATCACAAATAAAAGAAGGAAACAGGGATGGTAAGCAGAAAGTAGCCTCAGATTATTGCCACTAATTAAGTAAGAATTAGTTTCTTAAATTTATGTGTAATGAAGCATTTAGCTAGGATATACAGGAATCCAATTTTTATATTCACTCACTCATGTGTCTTCTTTCCGCAAATGGCAGGTTCTTACGAAAGCTTAAATGTAAACTCGAGGATGTTGAGATGGTTTATCATGACTCTTTCATAAGAAAAAGTTTTTGACTCTTTGAGTCGTCGAAAAACACCTCATTCCATCTTAATTGTAGTATTTGTTAAACTTGCAAAGTGAAGTCTCAACTCTCAACATTTTTATTTTTTTTAATTATTTTATATTTATGTACTTTTACTTTTAAATAGCTCATAATATTTCATGTTAATGAGAAGAAATAACGTTTTAAAAAAAAGTCCGCTTATATATTTTGTGAAAATAATGAGTAACTCTAGTACTATTACAATTGCGCTCATGGATACTTCCACTAGTAGCTAGCACCACTATGGCCGTAACGCACACAACAAAAAAAACGGGGAAATTGTAGCGGTTCTAATTGCGTATAACGGCGCTTCAAAACCGCCGAAATGTGCCGTTACGGCGGCTTGAAAAAGCGCCATAATCCTGTCCGCCACAAGTATATTATACTGTTATGGTGAAACCGCCATAATAGAATATGAAAACCGCCGTAATATGCAATGGTTAACTGTGGCTTTTTCTTTGTCAATAGTGGCGGTTTGAAACAGCCGTAATGTACACGAGATTGCCGACCACACCCAATATGTAAAAATGATCATGTTTGAAATAATATGCACCCTTGCATTCAAACTTCTATAGTACTTCAGAATAATTTTAGTGCAATATAAAAGATCAAATAAGCAAAATCTTCATCATATAAAACAAGTATTCCAAAGTTTCAACATCAAAGTTTCATTATGTCATTCAACAATAATACCCAAAAATACATAGTTGATCCTAAAATTAATTACTAATTGGTACTCGGTCGATCATCAATTGGTGACGGTGCGCCACTTCCTAACTCCGATGCCTGAGAAAAAGACAGCCAGCAATAATCAGTTAATTGAACCATAAGGAAGATTGCAAAAGCAAACAGAGTGCACAATGTATACTCCATTCAACTTGAGCAAATATTTTCCCACCTTCACATCGAATTCAAACTCGGTTATATCTAATTGCTGCATTCAAATTGATACCAACAATCCTAGAGTATCATGCTCTTAATGGTTTCTCAAAAGACAACACAACTCTAATCCACACAACTCAGATCTCTTCCTAGAGCATTGATAAATTGATAAAGATTTGGCATCTATAATTAGCTACCAGCAGATCCAATTCCTTGCTAAACATAATGAACCATTCATCAAGCAGATCCAATTCCTTGCTCTCTTTTAAAGTAGAATAAAAGAAAACAAAAGAGCATTTGCTACACCAGCTTAGAAACTCAGACAATATGAACTTCAGGTGCAGCTAGCAGAAAAGATTGCCTATGTTACCATCCCATGAATGTAAAGTAGTACATGGCAGAGAAAATAACAGTGCAACAGGTAGGAAGAAGAGGTAGAACAGATATTTTATTTGATACAAGCAAGTATGATTTACAAGGGATAAACTCGGTACAAACAGGCCGAGCATTTTTACACTTCAGCCTGCAAATGTTCCGTCAACTAATAATGAAGTCGAACAGATAATAATTGAAGCATTTAAAGATTATCTTAAAAGCATGATATAATGCATTTAAAGACATGCATATTGCTCTCATTTGGTGTCAGGATGGAAATTTTGTCTTGATAATGTGGTTATATACGTTCACCCAAAGCACGTGTTTCAGATGTCCAGCGACACGTGTTCGTTCTACTTGTCAACTCATTCGAGTTCCTAAATTTCTTAGGTTTTGTAACATTACTACTGATTACGTCTAAGTGAAGCTCCTAGTTGGGTCCTCTAAACTGCAAGGAAGAAAATGAGTATGAAAAAGGTTCAGATAATTACCCTACATCCTACTTACTAGGATAGTAGCCTAGAGCAAAGCAGATGATTCGTTTCGTAGTCTAATAACTCCAAGGACTAGTCAATATCATTCCACTTGGTCAATTCCAGAATTTATCAAAAGATGAACAAGTTGTGTTTCATCACTACATCGTTGTATAGAACCTTAATCATACTATGACTAGAGCACCAGAAAAGACGGTGGTTTTGATGATTCTTTCTAGGATTAGGACAGCATATTCCCAGATTAATAAGATCGGGATTGAGTTTTCCGGGCAAGCAAATTGAGTGTATGTATTTCATCCAGATGAGGTACCGAGCCCAGAAAAATCACTAATTGTCCACATCAAAGCTGCTCGCATTTTAAATATTTCATTCTTTGAAGAATCTAATGTTTGCACTCCATCGTATCACAATTCCCTCAACTCTTGGATAAGAGGATGTAAATACACGTCTATGTCATTGCCGGGCATTTGTTTCCCTGGAATAATCATTGAAAGAATGAATGAAGTTTGCTTCATGCAATCCCAAGGAGGACGATTGTATGGAATAAGTACCACTGGCCAGATATTATAGTTTGTTGCCATTGCTCCAAAAGGATTAAAATCGTCACTTACTAGGCCTAATCGTACATTCCGAGGATCTGCAGCAAATTCAGGATAAAGTAAGTCAAATGTTTTTCAAGCTTGAGAATCCCTAGGATGCCTCATCAATCCATCTTGGCTACCCTCTAGAGAATGCCATCTCATAGACTCAGCAGTTTTAGAGCACATGAACAATCTTTGCAACCTTGGCTTTAGTGGAAAGTAACGCAAAATCTTTGCAGGCTGCTGCTTCTTATTATCCTTCCACCTAGATGTCTTGCATCTTTTGCATTCTTGGAAGCCTTCATCTTCACCATAATATAACATACAATCATTTGGGCAAGCATGTATCTTGGTATAATTAAGACCAAGTTTGTTGATGGTTTTCTTGGCCTCATAAAAGGAACCAGGAATTTGGGCATCTTCAAAGGCATCTTTTAATAATTCTAGTATCATACTCATCGCTTTGTTAGTCATTCGACAAAGACACGTTATATGATACAATTTGATTAGAAAGGGCAATTTCGAATACTTCGTACACCCTTCATATAAATGGTAGATTGCCATCCTCGACCAATTCATAGAACTTTGTATAATCTTCATTATGTCCCTCAACGTGTCCTTCATTAAATGTTTCTTCTCTATTTATATGATCAGAAGACACACCATGCTCATTAACATTGTTCCCGGTGAATCCAAATGCATCATTAATCATGATTTCCATTGGATCTAGGAGCTGTAAAGTATCTTCTGTGACATGTGACGTGTGCTCTGAGAAGTCTGTTGCAATGTCGCATTTGATTCTTCACCATGCAAGTACCAAAATTTGTAGTTTTTTGGAAAAGGTTTGAGAATCAGGTGCTCTTCAACTACATCTCTTCTTTGCCACTTGTTAAAACCACATTTTGGACATGGGCACTTAACTACGCGCCCATCAACAGACCGTACTCAAAGGCAAAATCCAAAAAATTTCTTAGCCCAACTGCATATTCAGGTGTGTTTCGTGGATTGCTAATCTAAGATTTATCAATTGACATGTCTAGAAAGGAAGAATAAGATAACATCAATAATATCAAAATAAAAAAGAATATTAGTCACCTGATCCAACTTATTCAACAAAAACAAAGATAATGCATCGTTAAGTTTCTGATCTATCCCATTATATGTTACTGCCATCAATTCTTCATTCATGATCATCAGTTCTATCATCTAAAACTTGTCGATATAATCAACTTAGTTCTACTAAGTAAAACTATAAGTAAACATAGATATTTTATATATCGGAATAAAATAATTATACAACAAAGAGGCACGAATCCAACATATACACTAAAAGGTAACTCAATGCTAAGAAAGGATTAGCCATACCTATCAAATTGCTTAATGTCGGCGTCGACCCTAATAATTTCAGCACCTGTTTTTGAGCTCTCAGCTGCCTATCAAGCAACAATGCACTTAGTTAATACGAAGGATCATAACTAGCAGACGACAAATAAAATTAGAAATTTAATTGTGAAAATAAATCAGAGAAAAAAAAGAAACAAAATGGAAAACTAATAAGCAAATAGCTAATATATCTATATGATAAGAACCTCCATCAGAAGTCAGGCAAACAACAATAATTATAACACGCAATCACTTGAGCCTTTCACCAAATAGGTTATATGCACATTCATCCTTCACTGCAATTACTAACATTCAACCATTCATCACTACCCCTAATTTAGCAAACACAAAATTCCCGTATGAATCACTTACATACATCTAAAGCTGATTTGAACAATACATTTTGAGCATTGTGGTCACAGAGACGGCAATATCACCAATAGTAAGGTTGTTCAACAGAGAAGATTTCAGCATATGTTACAGAGACTATTAACAACCAATAAATTTTAGAAAAAGAAACCATATGGGTCATAATTTCATTGCCACTTCTCACAAAACTTAACATCGCCGAAAAGAAAGTAATTCCAAAGTAAGCATTCCAGACAGCAGCACAGGCATAATTTCATTGAATCCATAATGCAGTAAGTTGTACTTGTATCAAACAGTTAGTATACAACAGCAAAACTTCTCCCAAACTTCAGCAATGTCCCACAAACGCCAGCACTAATCAATCAATATAACACTTCCACAACTGATATTGAAGAAATTCACCAGAAATTACAAGCCACAATAGCACCACTATTCCACAAAACAGACATTAGGGCAAATGTATAATCATTTGCCTCCCCTAAAATAAGTGAACACAGAACAGTAGGTGAGAGTCATAAGTTGCCTAACTGGTATTACTTCCATTTCAGTTTATGTTACACTATTTCCTTCTTAAAAGAATTTTTTCCTAGCTGTGCAGCCATATACATTGAACTCAACGTCTCTCTACTTGTTTTTCGAATTATGTTCAAGTAACTTAGTAGTAGTATGTTATCATTGCCGTGTTATCAGATTACTAAGTATATGTAAACCAGGTAACCAAGTTTCAACCCTTTAAAAGTCATTCCATCAGTTAGCTCTAAGAAACCATTAGAGAACTGTCTCCAAAAAAGCAAAACGCTCAGAAATGTGATTTATTGAGTAAGAGTAGATTGGCTCGCACTTTCCCTAAGGTTTTGCATATTCGAATTAGAATCATAACCACACACATATTCAAATATGAGTAAAATCCGAATACCAAATTTCGGACAACAAGCAACAATATCAAACGCCACAATTTCCGCGTTTTTTGTAGTGCTGCAACCTTAAGTATTAATAATAGTTTCCTTTTAACCAAAAAATAATATTTCCTCGTTTCAATTTATGTGAACCCATTTGACTGGGCACGGAGATTAAGAAAAAAGAGAAACTTTTGAACTTGTGGTATAAAATGAGGCACATATATTTTGTGTGGCTATAAATAATTGCATAAAGGTAAATTGTTTCCAAATATGAAAATGGGTCATTCTATTTGGCACGGACTAAAAAGTAAATAGATTCACATAAATTGAAACGGATGTATTAATAATAAGTGACAAGGATCAAATAGGAGCTCACTCGTTCCATCTAAATGTGCAATGTTCAATTCTTGCCTGACTTCATCTTCCTCCTTCTAAGCTAGCCAACAATTCCGAGAAAAAATATTCACAAAAGCAAAAAGAAAAAAAATATGGACCTATGTACTTATGTTTTGCAAAGGGGACTTTGAGAAATGTATATTTTTAATCGCTCCAAAAAAATAATAGAAAAACTATCACTTATGTCCATTTATAACTAGTTTATTATAAAAATTGGTCAATTCATAAACGTCACGACCCAAAATTCACCTAGTCGTAATGCACCTAACCAAACCCGTCAGGTAAGCCAATTAACAACTATCCAAATTAATGAGATTTTTTTCAAGAAAGAAATGATAATAAAACTGCCTTTATACAAAAATTTTCGAGGACTGGTAGTACAAATCATGAGCTTCTAAAATTAGAATTTACAAAACTGGTATGAAATAAATACATCAGCTGTTCGAAATGTACATAAACAGATTTTTATAAACCTAAGGATACCATGAACAAGAGGCAGCTGCAACCGGAACGCAGGTACGCCTTCAAATCCAGCTCTCGTCGATCACAGCAACATCAGCATTCAACATCTGCACGCAAGGTGCAGAAGTGTAGTATAAGTACAACCGGCCCCATGTACGCAATAAGTAATAAATCTAACCTTAGGTTGAAAGTAGTGATGAACTGGGATAAGGGTCAGAGTCCAACTCCAATAACCAGCAACAGTTCATAACATTATAGTAAAGATGGTGCAAGAATTAACTCAATAAATAAATGCTCAGCTCGTATAAAATTCAAGAAAATAAATACTTCTTTTCAAGTATACAATAAAACATCAAATCTTTTGCCAAAATCACCAAAATATGAGTAGGTTTGTAAAATTGTGATTTTTTCCAAAACTTTTCAACAATACTTAAGATGTTTCATTTTTCAAATAGCATGAGGAAAGTACATCTCTATGCCTACATGTCACTATGCATGTGAAATCATGAATGACTCAATGTCATACAGCATGAGAAAAAATGCATCTTTATACCTGTATGTCAAGTGTGCATGTCAAATGCAATGTATCTCGGAGATGAACTCATGTACTCACACTCTTAGAGTACTCAATCTCACTGTCTCACACTTTTCACTCATTATTCTCAATCACTCAGTATTGTATATGGCCAATCCAGCTCAGGGAAGATCTATCCCAAATATATATGGCAGCTGACAATTAGTTACTCAGTACTGTATATGGTCAATCCAGCCCGGGAAAGATCCATCCCCAAATATAAATGCTTCAGGCAAGATCCATGCCTAGGGAAGATCAATCCCTTAATATAAATTAACTGCGCTTACTGGGGTGTGTACAAACTCCGGAGGGGCTCATTCAGCCCAAGCGCTATAATCCGCACGGATAACTCATGTGCTATAGTATCAATATCTGGATCCGCACGGACAACTCACGTGCCATAGTATCAATAACCTCACAATCAGGCCCTCGGCCTCACTCAGTCATCAATCTCTCCAGTCTCTCGGGCTCATAATGCCATGAAACTAGCCAAAAAATGATGATATGATGTGTCAATATATAACAACAGAGACTGAGATATGATATGAAATGAATGGATATGACTGAGTATGAAATTACAATGTAAGCAAATAACTCAACAGCAGGGATGACCTCATTGGATCCCAATAGAATAAGCATGTAGCCTAGACATGGTTTCTAACATGGATCACAACTCAATTGCTCTAGTACGTAGAGATTTCATGGTTACAGATAAGATCATGTAACTACACAGTACCACAGAAATAATGGAGTCACAATTCACACGGTGCACGCCTACACGCCCGTCACCTAGCATGTTCGTCATCTCAACACCAAACACATAACACGTAATTCGGGGTTTCATACCTTCAGCACCAAGTTTAGAAGTGTTACTTACCTCGAACCAGCCAATTCCAATACCGAACAAGCCACGCGATGCTCCAAAAATGTCATATCGCACGTATCGACCTCCGAACGGATCGAAATTAGCCAAAAGCAACTCGAATATATCAATTAATGACAAAGGAAACAAACTCAACCGATAAAGATCAAATCTTTAATCAAAAGCCCAAAATCGACCCAAAAATCAAACCTGGGCCGCACCTCGAAACCGGACGAAACTCATAAAATTCGACAACCCATTCGATTAGGAGTTAAACTATACTAGTTTCATCCAATTCCGACTCTGAATCGATGTTCAAAACTCAATTATTCACTTTAGAAATTTTTTTGATAAAAACTTCCAATTCTCCAATCAAAATATGGATTAATTCAAAAATAAACTTCTGTGATCATATTAAAATACAAAAGTTGCAGTTAGATACTGAACCCCATGAAAAGACGAGAAGAACGCCGTAAAAATCACCTCAATCAGAGCTCTAGAACTCGAGATTTGCTCTAAATACCAAAAGAATGCAGTCTAATTTTTTTATACATAGGGATTTTCGCTTTTGCGACAAAAACTCTGCACATGCGCATTTTCAGCTGTCATTTCCGCTTTTGCGGACCATTTTTCTCACCCGCTGGCCGCAAATGCGGACCTGACTTTGCATCTGCGAAGCACCATCACCAGCTCTCTTCTCCGACACTAAAATGAGCATAACTCCCTCATACGATGTCCAAATTCGATGATTCTTTTTTCTATGGCTCCGTAATTACGTTACGGATCTAATGCTTCAATCAAAATAGAAATTAAAGCTCATTTATTAATGTGGTACTATTTATGCTTGAAGAAACGACGTTGAAATATCAAAAACGAGCGCAACACAACCCAAACCTATCTGAAACTCACCCGAGCCCCTCGAGACCCCGTACGAACATACCAATAAGTCCCATAACATAACAAGAACTTACTCGAGGCCTCAAATTACACATAACAATATCGAAACGACGAATTGCACCTCAATTCGAACTAGAATGAACTTTGAACTTTCAACTTCCAAAACTCGCGCCGAAATACATCAAATCCACCCGGAATGAATCCAACTTTTGCACACAAGTCCCAAATGACATAACGAAGCTATTCAAATTTCCGAAAATCACAATCCGAACCCGATATTATTAAAGTCAACTCCCGATCAAACTTATGAACTTTCCAAACCTTCAAATTTTTAACTTTCGTCGTTTAGCGTTGAATCCTTCTAGAAATATCCAAATGCAAATCCGAGCATACGCCCAAGTCCAATTTCACCATCCAGACCTAACGAAACCATCAAAACTCTGTTCTGGGGTCAAATTCATAAGAGTCAAACTTGGTCAACTCTTCCAACTTAAAGCTTAAATCATGAAATTCATTCTTCCAAATCGATTCCGAATAACCTGAAAACCAAAACCGACAATTTACATAAGTCATAATATATCATACGGAGCTACTCATGCCCTCAAACTACCGAGCGAAGTGTAAATGTTCAAAATGATCGGTCGGATCGTTACAATAAAATACTATTAAATATTAGCCAAATTTTACTAATATTAGCCAATTAGCTATTTGTAGCTTAAAAAAGATCAAATTTTTATTTTCTTTTGAGTGGGTGTTATTAAAATTTATTGGGTACATCTTAAGAAGCTTGAATCTTAGTTTTGGGATAATTTGATGGAGTTTTAAGGTGGTTTGAATTGAAAATTCGAAGTAGAAGATGAACATGAAAAAAATGTTATTTGTATCACACTGTGTATCATTTGTGTATCACATATGTATCATATTTGTATCAAATGTGTATACATGTATATCCATGCATGTATACATACATGTGTGGTACATGTGTCGCATAAGAATTTTTTGAACTCGATTTTAACTACGAATTTTGATACCAAATCACCTTCAATCTTCCTCAAATTTTGTATATTGACTCATCTATATGTTTTCAATAAATTTCAACCATACCCATTGAAAAAGATCCTTTTTGCTTAGATTTTTGGAATCTTGTATATATATCTTTTTTGTATTTTATCACCTAATTTCTACCCTCCCCAGACCCCACTAGTGGGATCCTACTAGGTTGTTGTTGTTGTTGTTGTTGTTGTTTATTTGTTACCTCATCCATGAAATTTCTTTTCCGTCTTGCATTTAATGTTGCTAATCATGCTTAAAAATCTGAAAGAAGTTCTTTGCGTGTGATTCTTGGAGAGAAATTTTTTTAATTATTTGGGTTTTCAATTTTTATATGTGATTGACTAGTTTTGGTAAGTTTATGAATAATGGATAGAGGTAGGTAAGTTGGGACTTATTTGGAATATTTCTGTAAGATTCCCAAAATAATTCGCTAGTCAAAAGTCTATATATATATATATATATATATATTCTTTTGACTAGCGAATTCAATTAGTTCCAGCGGTCCGATTAATTTTATATTTTGCCCAAACAATTTTCACTAGCAATTAGCATGGACTAGAACGACCAAATTACAACTTGATAACATTAATGGCCCATCAATTGAAATCAAAATGTACTTTAATAAGTCATGGGTGGAACCAATATCTGCCCATTCTTTCCATTGAAAACGAATATTTGATGGGATAAGCATTTGTTCTTGTCAGCCCAAAAGGTCAACGGGAACTTACATTTTAAGTTGCATTTTATGTTGTTTATACTATTTTAGGTTTAGTTTTAGTTTTTCCTGCAATATACGGAG